TAATTCTTCCTTCTTTTCCTAGTCATACCACAGCAAGGAAGGAAATTCTTAGTCCTTACAGCCTTCCAGAAGTAGTTCCTCAAATTTATTTCCCTTTTCTAACGGGCCTGGTTGTTTTTGACAAAAAAAAAATCCTAAGATTTAATGAAGCTACTCCTCCAAAAATGTTAGGAATCCACAATTTTTCTATGTGTCTCAATAAAAACAAATAATTTTCCTTAAAAGACCATGGGGTAATTTCTTTTTTATATAGATCTCTTTTTATAGGAAGAATTCTTACAACTTAGTATTTTTTAAAAAATAAGAAAAAATAGAGAAAGAAAATAACAGTGCAGGGGTGCGTGAGTGGCTCAGTTGGTTAAGCGTCAGACTCTTAAGATTTCGGCTCAGGCCATGGTCTCAAAGTCTTGAGATGGGCCCTGCTCAGTGGGGAGCCTGTTTGGGATTTTTCTCTCCCTCTTCCCCTCTGCCCCTCCCCCCCACCCCTGGGAGCACAAGCATTCATGTGCTCTCTCTCTCTCTCAAGTAAATAAATAAATCTTCTTAAAAAAAAATAGAAAAAGGTGCAAAGGACATAAAACAAATTCCAGAGAATGTTAATGTCAAATAAATATTAAAGAAAAGTTCAACCTTATCAGTCTTCAAAAAAAACCACAAATTAAAATATAAAACCATTTTCACTTATCAAATTGACCATTTTTCTTAAGAGTAATGGCAAAGGTTAAGTAAAATAAGCACTTCTACAGAATGATAAGTATAAACTAAAAAGTCTTACTGGAAGGCAATTTAACAATATGATGGAAAGCATTAAAACTGATCATTCCTGGGACACCTGGGTGGCTCAGTCGTTAAGCATCTGCCTTCGGCTCAGGTCATGATCCCAGGGTCCTGGGATCAAGCCCCACGTCGGTCGGGCTCCCTGCTCCCGAGGGAAGCCTGCTTCTCCCTCTCCCACTCCCCCTCTGCTTGTGTTCCCTCTCTTGCTGTGTCTCTAATAAATAAATAAAATCTTTAAAAAAAAAAAAAAACTGATCATTCTTGGGTGACTCAGTAGGTTAAGCGTCAGACTTTTGATTTTGGCTCAGATTATGATCTCAGGGTCAAGAGATGGAGCCCTGCGACAGGCTCCGTTCTGGGCATGGAGCTTGCTTGAAATTCTCTCTCTCCCTCTCCCTCTTCCCCCCACAAAAAACAAAAATAAAACAAAACAAAAAAAGCCCAATCATTCCTATGATCCCAGAATGCCACTGCTAGGATTCAATAAAAAGGAAATAACAAGCCAGCACAAACATACATGCCCAGGAGTCCTCATCTCATATTATTTATAATTACGAAAAACTGTAAATATCTTAAATGTTTAACAAATGGAGACTGATTAAATAAATTTGGGTATATTCATTAATGGGAAAATACGAAGCCATTAAAAATCATGTTTGAGGGATGCCTGGGTGGCTCAGTCGTTGAGCGTCTGCCTTCGGCTCAGGTCATGATCCCAGGGCCCTGCTCAGCGGGACCCACATCAGGCTCCCTGCTCAGCGGGAAGCCTGCTTCTCCCTCTCCCACTCCCCCTGCTTGTGTTCCCTCTCTCACTGTGTCTCTGTCAAAAAAAAAAAAAAAAAAATCATGTTTGAATAATAGTTAATATCATGAGGCAGGGATAATGTTCATGAAATATTAGAAGAAAAAGGCAATTTAACATATATAAATGTAAACGTATAAAATGATCCCATGTATCTTATATATATATATCTGTGTAAATATATGAAAACTCATACACATATATTTAGGTATATACATCTGTGTATACACACCACACACAGGAGTCTTTAAATAAGGGAAATCGTTTAAAAGTTTACATAAAAAATAGTAGGACTTCCCAGTCTTCCCACCCTTGTCCCAAAGAGTCAAGTAATCATTCAATCTCACTCCTTAAGGCAAACATCCACTTTTCGTTTTCAGGAGAAAATGAACAGGCTTGAACCTCAGGTACCCCAGGCAAGGCAAAGGGTGGAGCTAAAAACAACCTGATTGTACTTCTCTAAAATGCTTAAACTGAACTGAATTGGGAAATTAAAAAAAAAAAGAACTTTTAGAATTTAAAAATACAAAGGCAAAACTGAAAAACTCAAAAAGTTGGAAGGTAAGTTGAGATAATCTTCCAAAAAGAGAGCAACAAGACGAAGACGTGGAAAATAGCAGAAAATAAGGTGACCTAAAGGACCAAATTCCTAAAGGATTCAGGAGATCCAATATCAAATTAACTGAAATTTCAGAAAAGGAAAATAAAATTTTATAGGGAAGAAAAATACCAAAATAAATAAATAAAAGAAATTTTCTCAGAAAAGATCAGTCAACAAAATTAAGATTCCATCAAGGGATGAGTACAAAGAATGGAATTCACAGTGGTAGCCCCCCTTCCCACACCCACACCAGGCACACCATCATGAAATTTCAGTACACTAGAGATAAAGAAAAGATCCTGTCTCCAAAGGAATTAAAAAAACAAAACAAAACCAGATCACATATAAAAGATCAGGTAATAGCGTGGAACTCTTCAACATGACAGTAGATGCTAGAAAGCAATACAACAAACAAGTGCCTTCAGAATGCTGAATGAAAATAATTTTTAACTTAGAATTCTTTAATCTGCCAAACTATCAATCAAGTATGAGGGAAGACATGATCAGACAAGCAAAAATTCAAATATTTTTATCATACACGCATCCCCTCTTAGGATATGCTCAAGAAAATTTTAAGGACTAAACAAAGAAGGAAGAAGGCATAAAACCAAGGAAGCAGGAGACCCAGCACAGGTGGGCACACAAGGAACTACCTGTATGAAAGCTGTGCAGGTGGCTTAAAGGGTAGCCAGTTCAGACTGAAGGACAGCAACAGAGCACTGCAGAAAGTACCTCCAGGAATAAAGAGGAATTGCTATATCATCTCTTATCACACAACACAGAGAACAGGACAGAAAATGAAGATGTAATAGATATAAACAGAGCTTCTTGACTTACAAACAAGGGGATTTCATCTCAATAAATCCATTCGTTGTAAACTGAAAGTATCATTAAGTCAAAAATGCATTTAATACACCTAATTCACCAAATGTGCTCAGAGCACTTACATTAGCCTACAGTCGGACAAAATCATCCAACACAAAGTCTATTTTATAGTAAAGTGTTGAATATCTCAAGTAATTTATTGAATATTGTACTAAAAATAAGAAAAAGAACGGCTGTATGGGGACAGAATGATTTTAAGTGTATGGACTGTTGACCCTTGTGATCCCATGATTGACTAGCATTATGGCTCACTGCCCCACCCAGCATCACCAGAGAATATCCTACCACATATTGCCAATTCAGAAAGTACAGTTCAAAATTCAAAAGTACAGGGACACCTGCGTGGCTCAGTCGTTAAGCGTCTGTCTTCGGCTCAGGTCATGATCCCAACGTCCTCGGACTGAGCCATGCACTGGGCTCCCTGCTCAGCGGGAGGCCTGCTTCTCCCTCTCCCACTCCCCCTGCTTGTGTTCCCTCTCTCACTGTCTCTCTCTGTCAAATAAATAAATAAATAAATAATCTTAAAAAAAATTCAAAAGTACGATTTCTACTGAATTGCATCACTTTCTCACTATAATCAAGTCAAAAAATTGTAAGTCATTGTAAGCTGGAGACCATTTATCTGTGTGTAAAGAGAGCCAATTCTTAAGTATTATGAAAACCCAGAAGACCATACAGAAAAGGATCTCTGATCTGCACTCAACAGTATTTGCAAAGTCATAATTAACACTGATTACTATGTTTCAACTAAGTTTTATGAAATTACTGGGTAGGAAAGAAGCTAGGTTATAAAAGTGCTAAATTCTTCTTAATCTTAAGAAGAATGCAATATATGTCTAAAACTGACCAATAAAAAATTAAAAGGCAGTATGAGCACTTTATTCAGAAATTCGGAATTAAAAGATGAGAACTGAAAGAGTTAACAGCTGGGGGCCAGGGCAGGGACTAGACAGAGTTAGGGCCAATTCTCATTATAAACCTTTCAGTACTGGGACGCCTGGGTGGCTCAGTTGGTTAAGCGTCTGCCTTTGGCTCAGGTCATGATCCCAGGGTCCTGGGATCGAGAACTGCATCGGGCTCCTTGCTCAGTGGGGAGCCTGCTTCTCCCTCTCCCACTCCCCCTGCTTGTGCTCTCTCTCTCTCTGACAAATAAGTAAAATCTTTAAAAAACAAAAAACAAAAACCTTTCAGTACTACTTGATTTTTTTTAAAGATTTATTTTATTTATTTGAGAGAGAGAGAGAAGAGAGTGCATGCACGTAAGTGGGGGGAGGGGCAGAGGCAGAGAATCTTCAAGCAGACTCCCCGCTGAGGGGGGGATAGATCCCAAGACCCATGAGATCATGACCTGAGCTGAAACCAAGAGTTAGACCAATAACCATCTGAGCCACCCAAGCACCCCTTGATTTTTTAAACTAAATTTTATTTTTAAAATTTACAAAGTCATGGGCCTTCCTCTCAAAAACCGATAACCCCATTCTAATCATGAGAAAAACATAGGACAAATCCCAATTGAGGGACATTTTACAAAATGCCTGACCAGTACTCCTCAAACCATCAAGGTAATCAAAAGCAAGAAAAGTCTGAGAAACTGCCATAGCCAAGAAAAGCCTATACAGACATGATGACTAAATGTAATGTAGTATCCTGGGTGGGATTCCTTGAACAGAAAAATGACACTGGGTAAAAACTAAGGAAACCTGAATAAAGCATGGCTTTAGTTAATAATGATAATGTATCAATACTGACTCATTAATTGCGACAAACGTATAATACAAATGTAAAATTTCAGTAAGAGAAAGTAAGTACGGAATACGTGGACACACTCTAATTTTTCTGTAAATCTAAAACTCTCCTAAAATTAAGAGATTACTAAAAGTCATATATATAAATTTATAAAGGCAAAACTTAATTAAAAGAAAGAAATACAGTGCTTACTTCAGCAGCATATGTACGAAATTGGAATTGAAACCACACAGAGAAGATTAGCATGGCCCCTAAGTAAGAAAGGTATCAAATTCATGAAGCCTTCCATATTTATGGGACAGACGGTGGCTTACTTGTGGTGAGCATAGCATACGTATAAACTGTCAAATCACTACTGGTATACCTGAAGCCAATGTGCCATTGTGTGTCAACCACAGTCAAATAAATAAATAAGAAATACAGTTTGTGTGCATGAGGCTACTGTGGCACTGCGTGTCAACTCTACATACATACGTAACACAGACACACACAGTTTGTGTACATGTGTGTATAAATTTCACTCTATGTAATGGACAGAGCTCCAAGACACACTGTTAAGTAAAACGAGCAAGTTATAGAAAAATACATATAGCATATTTAGGTTTTCAAAAATAGGCTACATATTCTTTTCTGTGTGTACATGTATTTATGTATATATGTAAATGCATAGGAAAAAGTCTGGAAGGAAGAACACAAAACACCTAACAGGGTTTACTCCTGTAGAAGGAATAAAAGGAACTCTTGATTTTTATTTCCTTTACTTCTGAATTTATATTTATTATTATTATTAATTATAATTTCTACAACAAAAAGGGATTCATATTTATTACTTATGTAATTGTTAGCCTACATCTCTTTCCTGAAAGAAAAATTGATAATTATGTTCAGACAAGTACTTTTTTTAAAGATTTAGAATCACTTAAGATCTATCAGAAGAGATAAGAAAAAAGCACTTCAAAATAAAACAATGAATATATAACCTAATACACACATACATGAAAATACTCTTCCTTTTTACAAAGTCCTCCCTTCATTACAATTGTTCAAGTGCATTTCTACCTCACTTTATATACGTTATGTCAAGTTCACGCTATAGTTAACAAAAAGAAAAATGAAAGGAGGAAATATGACACAATTATATATGTATTCTGAATATGTATATATACATGCACTATTTGTTACATTTAATAGATTTTAAGGAAAAGACAGACATCCCATACTATACCATGACTCATTAAACCAAAGATTTTTGTTTAAAAAAGGATCTTTAGGGGCGCCTGGGTGGCTCAGTTGGTTAAGCGACTGCCTTCGGCTCAGGTCATGATCCTGGAGTCCCAGGATCGAGTCCCACATCGGGCTCCCTGCTCAGCAAGGAGTCTGCTTCTCCCTCTGACCCTCCTTTCTCTCATGCTCTCTGTCTCTCATTCTCTCTCTCAAAAAAATCTTAAAAAAAATAAAAATAAAAAATAAAATAAAATAAAAAAGGATCTTTATATAAGTTCATTTAAAAAAAATTTTTTTTTAAAAAGTGTCACGGGGGGGCCTGGCTGGCTCAGTCAGCAGAGCAACTCTTGATTTCAGGGTCATGAGTTCAAGCCCCACGTTGGGCATAGAGCTTACATAAAAAAATAAAAATAAAAAAATAAAGAAGTGTCATAAAAATCCACACTTACTTCTTAAGAAGTGTTGGTAGAATTTCCTGCTAAAGCTTTCAGCCACAATATATTCTTGTAGAACAAACCTCAAATAGGCTTCATGCTATCACAGTTTGCCTGCTTTGGGTATGTGCCATGATTCACACTGTAATAATGCAGTCTATGAAATCAGTTAGTCTGAACAACAACACTGATCTTCCTGATCACCCTCCCCAGACAGAAGTATAGCTAGAAATAGATCTGAAAACAAGCAGGAAACAGGAGAAAATGAGAAATAATACAGAATTGAAGTGGGGAGGAAGAGGGAAAGTAACATTACAAAAATGGAAAGGAAAAGATAAAAGATATAGTAAAAAGGAGTGATGCCTTCTCAGTCTTTTTTTAAAGATTTTAATTTTCTTGGGCACCTGCGTGGCTCAGTTGGTTAAGCGACTGCCTTCGGCTCAGGTCATGATCCCGGAGTCCTGGGATCGAGTCCCACATCGGGCTCCCGGCTCAGCAGGGAGCCTGCTTCTCCCTCTGACCTTATCCCCTCTCATGCGGTTTCTCTCTCTCTCTCAAATAAATAAAATCTTAAAAAAAAAAAGATTTTATTTTGCTTGTACAGAAATATTTATTGAAAATCTCATCAACAAATCACTGAGCCATTCTATATATGACATAGAAGTAGTGTTTGGAACACTTGTTTTTAAAGAGACTTGCTTTAAGGCTAGTTTGTCAACACTCATTTATTTTTTTTCCGTTTTTTTATTTAACTCAATTAACCAACATATAATGTATTATTGGTTTCAGAAGTAGAGTTCAGTGATTCATCAGTCTTATTATAATACCCAGTGCTCATTACATCACATGCCCTCCTTAATGTCCATCACCCAATCACCCCATTCCCCTATCCACTCCCCTCCAGCTACCCTAAGTTTGTTTCCTATGATTGAGTCTCATATGGTTTGTCTCCCTCTCTGGTTTCATCTTATTTTTTCCTCTCTTCCCCTATGATGCTTTGTTTTGTTTCTTAAACTCCACATATGAGTGATATCATACGATAATTGTCTTTCTCTGATTGACATATTTCACTTATCAGCCTTTTTTTTTATTGGTCCTCACTGCAAGAGATATTACTAGCCTCTTACTCAAAACTTCTCCCTAAAGTCAGTGGAACTCCACTATTGTGACTACTCCATAACTCATGATCCTACCATCAAAACCTGCACATTCTCCTTAGGATTTTATCTTAGGTGTACCTCCTTTCTCTATACTTGTCTAAAAATGCATTCCTAGGATTTAAACTGTAACCATTAGGCAAATGAGTCCCCAAACTAATATCTCAACCCAACCTCTTGGCCAAGCTTCACCACGTCATCTCCGTAAGAGATATTTAACATCCTGGGGCACCTGGCTGGCTCAGTCAGCAGAGCCTGCAACTCTTGATCTTGAGGCTGTGAGTTCAAGCCCCATACTGGGTAGAGAGATTACTTAAAAAAATAAAAAAAATTTTAAAAATTTTAAAAAGAAAAGAAATATTTGGGGCGCCTGGTTGGCTCAGTCGTTGGGCATCTGCCTTCGGCTTGGGTCGTGGTCCTGGGGTTGAGCCCTGCGTCGGGCTCCCTGCTCAGCAGGAGGCCTGCTTCTCCCTCTCCCACTCCCCCTGCTTGTGTTCCCTCTCTCAGTGTCTCTCTCTCTCTCTGTCAAATACATAAATAAAATCTTAAAAAAAAAAAAAAGAAAAATATTTAACACCAAAATTATCATCTTTCTTATATAAATAAGGTTCAAGCTCTCCTTTTAATTCCCTGTTTAGGTTAATGGCACAACAGCCCCTGACATCCAAATTCAAAATTCTTAAAACCTTTACACTTCCCTCTTTAGTTTTTCCCCTAACATTAAATCACTTGTTTAGTTCAGTCTACTGAAATACGTCCATCTTCCTTTCCCTTTCCACAGCTATCACCATAACTGATTAATTATCTTTTGAAAGAAGTGATCTTCCTACTTAAAATTTCTCTCCTCTCCACCAATCCACTCAGCAGTGACAAAAAAATATTCCTTGAAAATATAGTTTATCATGTCACTCTCCTCTACTTTAAACAAATGAACAAATCCACCCTATGTAAAAAAAGAAACTTCCCACAGTATGCCATTCAAGAATCTGTATAGTGAAGACTCATACTTTAATCATTTCTTCTACTATTCAACCATATGTATATGTACACAAGATTCCAGATTGTTTAATTCATTACTACTTGAGTCTTACTCCATTTACTTAGAATGCCTTTGCCCATCCCTACTCTTGCCGACCAGAATCCTACACATCCTGCAAGATCCAGCTGAAATTCAGCTTTTCATTAAGGACTCCTTGATCCCTACAACTAGAAATGACCCCACTGCCTCCTCTTCCCTCTCTTATGATTTGAATTCTGCTTCTTTGTGTACCTGTTCTATCTGCCCTGCTGAATATAAACTCTTCTGCAGTTTTTTGGTTTGTCTTTTTTTTTTAATTTTATGTTATGTTAATCATCATTAGTTTTTGATGTAATGTTCCATGATTCATTGTTTGCGTATAACACCCAGTGCTCCATGCAGTATGTGCCCTCCTTAATACCCATCACCGGGCTAACCCATCCCCCCACTCCCCTCCCCTCTAGAACCGTCAGTTTGCTTCTCAGAGTCTATAGTCTTTCATGGTTCGTCTCCCCCTCTGATTTCCCCCCCCTTCATTTTTCCCTTCCTACTATCTTCTTTTTTTTTAATATATAATGTATTATTTGTTTCACAGGTTCAGGTCTGTGATTCATCAGTCTTACACAATTCACAGCGCTCACCATAGCACATACCCTCCCCAATGTCCATCACCCAAGCCACCCCATCCCTACCACCCCCCACCACTCCAGCAACCCTCAAGTTTGTTTCCTGAGATTAAGAATTCTTCTGCAGTTTTTGTATCTAACACATCTTTGTCTTCTTCTATAGAATCTACAATAGTGTTTTGCACATAAGATGCTCAAAATCAATGAAGTTTCCACGGGGCAAAAGAAGAAAAGAGTTAATGTAAATAAAAGCAAATTACTGATAATCATTTGAAGGGTCAGCAGTCACAGAAGATAAAAAAAAAGCAACATTCAGAAAAAGAAACAAGATGCGTAATAATACAAAGTGTCTCTTACATCGCAGCTAATAATCTTTCCAATTAAATTATAAATTCCTGAAGTCAAGAAATATAAACAGCTTTCCTCTCTGCATTCCCCTACACAGTGCCAAGCATATAGCAGGCAGTAAATGTCTGTTGAATCATATAAGAAGCAGAGGACAAATTAGGGAAATTGTGACGTAATTTAAGAAAGTAAATGCTCTTATAAGACTCTAGAAATAAACAATAAAAAATAGCAGAGGTATGACAACAATCAATAAGATAGTGTTGAAGTGCGGCAGCTGCCAGAAAAGTTTCCATAAAATTAGTTTTTTCATAGAAACAAATTAAAGATTTTACCTACTCTCCTCGTCAAGGCCCAGAGCATTTAAGATTTTCTCAGGGACAGAGATTAAGTGGCAGAAGTAGGAAAAGTCCTAACCAAGTCCCCAAATTTCCAGTTAAAAGCTCTTATACCACACTTTAGGAAAAAAAAAAAAAAACATAATGAGAATT